TTCATAACATGTAGTCTGATTTCCTCGGAGAATATGAACGGCAAATAAATCGATTTTTGTATAGTACATAAAATTAATTGACAAATAGAGTATAAGTTATTTTTTTTATTTAATCATACATTTTACTTATAGGAACAAATAAGAATAAGCTTACAATTTTAGTCTAAAATAAGCGAATTACATAAAAGTTAATACGAATAATTCGAAGATAAAAACTCAATAGTAGTACTGTAATTATCAATATATCTTTATCATTCTAATTCTTTGTTGTTTCTTATTGCATAAATGAATGAAGTGAGATTAGAGAGAGTTAGTATTATGTACATTTATATTATAAATATATCCGATAAATTAATATAACTGTTTTATGTGTATTTAAGCTTTATTTCTCTCTTATCCTCTTTAGTAACACAAAAAATTAGAAGTTGGATACTCTAAACTTTGAGATAAATCAAGAGAATGATAACAGTCTAGACAAGTAATTTCGACTGTTTGTTATTTGTCAAAATTGAATTTAATTGGCTAAACAAAAACCCTTTTTTTCCTTAAAAATTGATATGGTTTGTCAATATTTTAGCAAGAAAATATTCCTACAGTTGATGAAGGTTTTTTTTCCAATTACTTTCCGGTAATAAAGGAAGTTTTTGTTCTTGCCATTATTTCGTGATACTTGTGTATTGTTCGAATGGAACTTTTGGCAAAGTCGATAATTCGTAAAGAAAGAAACGAGTAAATATCAAAGGAAAAGAATAAAACTGAGGTTGATAGAACACGAGTCGGTAGTTTCTTTTTATTATAAAACCATTGTTCTGTCTTACAAATGGATAAAACGTAACTATTATAGAATTCGAAAGAACCTGAAGTTCTAAATAAGTTTCCATTGCATCCTTTCTTCTGAATTCCAGTTAATATAAACAGAAACAAAGTCTAAAACATTTTATGCTTTGTATTCATTTTTTTGTTAAAATAAAGTGTTTAATAATATAAGATTATTAGATAAATTTTCCATTATTTTTACTATGCTGCTAGACTTTCAACATACGAGAATTATTCCAGTAAAATCCAAGAAACTTAAACGAATTTCTAATTAAATTCCTCTCTCTCGTGTTTATAGAAAAACCAAGAATTTTAGATTTATTTTAGGGAAGAAGATTGATGACAGGTAAGGACCAGAGAGCAGTGGTAGACTTGTCTAGATACACAAGTGAAATTGACTCAGACAGAAAAAATTGTTATCGATCTCCAAAGTAGATTTAATTAAGAAAAATCAGAGAAAAGAAGACCCCACGAAGAAGATTTACAAGGTATTACGATATACATTATCATCGAAATCATCGATGTAATTTGTATTACGTAAGGAAATCAAGCTTACACATGAGACACAATCATTAATTTTTCACTTAAATGAGATAATTTCCATTCGAGATTAAATAAAAATTAGTCTCTAAGGAAAAGGAAATTAATTATATTTCTTAAATGAATATCTTCCTTTGCAAAACAATTATATATACTTATTTGTATTTGCAAATGGCTATTCGTTCACTTATAACTTCATTATTTTTTAAGTTCTCTTACATTTTCATGCGATTTGTTTACATATACATAAGCTATAATTCATTATAGTATATAAATTGCGAGTAGACTTGCTGCTCATTTTAATTTTGTATGTAAATAGATACTCATCTAGGAATTCCGTAAATTTCTTACCTTTCTAGCAGCTCTTTTATTTAATTCTAACACAATAGTCATTGATGCATCCAAAGTTCCGCTCTTTTATGTCGAAATCTTTCTGATGTGTGTTTTATAAAGAATAAGATAAAAACAATACGTAAGGCTCTTAAATACTGCACTTCATATTTCTTACATGAGAAAAGAAATTAAAAAGAGAAAATTGCGCTAGTTTTTGAGTCAGATTAATGCTTTAAAGTGCAAAGACTAAAACAAAAAAGCTTCTATACTTGTTAATAAAACTATATCAAGAATTTCGATGAATCAATAGAACGAAAACAGCATCCAAAAAGATAATCGAGTTCTTCATCACTGCGAATGTCTTCGATATCTAACAATAACAAGGAGCCATTTATCAAGGAGAAGAGAAATTAAATAAGACGAATGGAATGCATCAAACGTTAGGAATCAATAAATAAAATGCACTTTAGGAATATTGTTAACAAAAAAAAATTACAAGAATCTTTAGAGCTAAAGTAAAACTTTCTGTAATATCTATAAACGAATTTTTCTTTATCTTCGATTTTAAAAAATTTAGCAACGAGTTGCATATGTTTCCCAGTCAAACTCTAAAATTGTGTGTGACTCATTTCTTATGAGATTTTGTTATAAAAGCTTTTTATATTATTAATTGTTGTAAAATGGCAAAAAGCTTAATGCTTAATTTTGAGGGTAGAGATGGGTTTTGTTTAAATTGCAAATGAAAATAACGAGTAAAATCGTTATTAAGTCTAATCCCTCTTGAGATATGACACGACCCCATTTATCTCCCTACCTCTTTGACCATTAACCACTAAAATTTAACAGCATAAATCACCCTAATACCCAAACTTCTCTGCAAAATTTCAGAAATTTTCGACAAAAAGCACAGAAGTTATTAAGCTTCAAAGAGTGCGAACAAAATCGTGCTTCCCATACACACTAACATCCATACATACAGGAAAACAAACCCTAAATTGTTTTGAATTTCTTGACGTTTCAAGGTGCGTGTCCTAAATCCAAAAATGTAAAAATCTTTGGGGTTATTTCTTAACCAATCCCCATACTTTCCTTCTGTTATATATAACAGAACTGGGGAAATAAAACGCATTCTCGTGTTTTATATATTAATTTTTCCTTAAAGAATAAATTGCTTCTTAGTAATTAAAACTCGAACAAAATAGATTTAAAAGTTACAGGAATAGTTCTAGTTTTTTTGTAATGAATTATATGATAATATATCGAAAAGTATTTTTACTGTAAGTAATATTTTCTATTTGAAGCTATTAAAAATACATTTCTAGATAAAAATTAACAAATTACTTAAATTAAATTAATCATAAAAGAATAAGTTCCAATTAAACGGGTAGGAAAAACCATTTTTCATTGGTAATAACTAATCAACTTGTTGTATCATTAATCATTAAATCATCGATCAGTAGTACTGATTGATGATTTAATGCTTACGCCTGATCAATCAATAATTAATTATAAGAAACGTGAAAGTTCACAGGATCGAATTCTAACAATTAAAGCTAATTAAATTCTATAGATTATTAAATTCTATTCTCTTTAAAGATAATCTATTTCCTTACATAGATGAAGAATATCATTGAGAACAAGTACAATGTTCTTAATACTTAATTATCAACTTATATATTTATTTATTTTATAATGGAATAATACTAATTACGTATGATAATTTCGTTTATTTTCAAAGTAATTTATTAAATAAATTTATTTACTAAAATTACTGTATTTTAGAATATATTTTTAAAATATTTTAATCCTACAGTCCACATTTTACGAGGATTTAGGAAGAAATGCTTAATTATTTCATCATAATGAATGAGAAATAACAAAAATGATAAGGAAGATGTTAACGTTTCATGTTAATTATTAGAAAACTTTTGCAAATCTTCTTATTGAAATGTGTTTCAATCTAATCTATGTTATTTAATAGTCTATTTTAGTCTATTTTAGTCTAATATAGAGTAATATCTTCATTAAGTTCTACTCACTCGAGATATGACACATGATCCTCTGTACTATCCCACTCCCTCGACCTTTAACAGCCAAAATTTAACAGTATCTATATCCCCAATAGACAAACCTCCCTGCAAATTTTCGGAAATTTTCGACAAATAAAAGAGGAGATATTAAACTTCAAATTAGGAGGGAAAAAAATATATTAATTCTACAAAGTTAGACAGAGTGCCACCAAAGTGATATAAAGAAGCTAATTATCTAATTACCTTACAACTATGCCACCTAAAATTTCAGACTTTTGGACAGGTTATGTAACTTCCGAAGCAAAATATTTGCAAACTCAAATTATTAAAATCTGCAAAAATCGTGGTTTTAACGTTTTACGATATGGAATACAGTCAGTTCTCAAAAGAAATGATTCGCAAGAGCCAGGATCTTCGTCAAGTGTTTCAATTCGGCCCAGAAAAAGAAACGCCCTAAGTCGCACACTGGAGGTGATAGCAAAAGTTAGACCACTGATCAGTGGTTCAAATACAAAAACCCAACGAAGTATTGCTCAGTGTTGGAATAGTCCAGTCCACAGTTTATGCCATCATTCACAAAGATTTGAAACTGGAGAAACATCATAAAGGCCGAGTTCACAAGCTATTGTCTCGTCACATCCAAGAACGAAAAACCAATTGCCGAAAACTGTACGAAAAGTATCTTTCGGTAAACAAGTGGTGGTAGTTTGTAGTCATTGCGGGTTATTGTTATCGTGGTAAACTACTACGTAATCCCTACTTTGTACGAAAATGACCAAACAAATGTACAGGTGCATCGAGACAAAGCTTCTAGTTTTACTCTATTTTAAACCAAAATATATTAACTTAGTGACAGTGGTATAATATAAAATAATTGTTAGTAAATTTTCAAAATTAAAGCGAGTGTTTTTATATGATCAAATAGGGAAGATTAGGACAAGGAAAGCTTAGAAATAAAAAAAATTAACACCGAAAATATATTAAAAACAGCGTATTGTTTGAAGAAAGTTCTTCAAACAATTTTAGATAGGAGATTTCCATTAATTAACATGATATTTCTTGATTGAATCTCTAATAAAAACTTGATTAATTTTTCTATTTAATTTTCATGTTACACAATATAGTATGAATTCATTCCCAAGTAACACACGTAATATAACACGTAAAAAAATTATATAAATTTTTAAATAGTAATAATAAAATTTTGTAAAAAATATAAATTAATTCCTTGACAATATTGTATTTTTATGCAAATTAACATCAGTTACTTTATAAATTAATCGAGATTATCTTCCATGTAAAAAGTCGATTTACAGTAAAATATCATTTAGTTTCAGTAATTTAATTATTTAAACTATTCACAATAAATATGTCAATAGAGAACCGAATCGAACAACAAAAATTGCTTACAGGTATTTCATTATTTTATTTTAAAAATGAGTTTTAGAGTGATGTAACTTGTCAAGTTTACTTTAAATTGTAAACGTGGCAATTGAACAATGGTATAGAAATAATTCATTTCTATCTTTCGAAAGGTAGTAATATAGTAAATTTGTGTGCGTGTTGCGGTCGTCAGGCTTGGAGTGATTATTATGGAAATTTTGCTTGTAAAACTTGTATAGAATTTTTCATAACCTGCATTCGAGAGAGGAAAGCCTGTGAGTGTCAAAGGAGGGACGATCTGTGCCAAATTTCAAATGATCCACAGTCTAGATGTAATTTTTGCTATTTGCAACGTATATATAATGCAGGATTAAAGCCAAAAATGTACGGAAGACACGAAAATGGATGGTATATGAAAGACATAATTCCTTCTCTAATTAAAATACCGGCGCAACATTTAAATCTTGTAAGTATCATTTTTGAACAATTCAAATTTGTATGTTCCTTAATTAAATTAATATTTTCAGTCTCTAGATCGTCATAAAAAAGAAAATAACATGATGAAAACATTTCACTTCGGGTTACTTCTATATTTCAGATTTTGGTTGATACGGCATTGGCCTTTTGTAGATCTGAGCAGGATGCCTGTATGTGTAATAATAGATATTGTTTATTTTTAAATTTACGTGTTTAATAACAAAAAATATTTTATTATTTTTTTAAGCGTGTAATCGCATCTGGTATGACATTCAGAGGAAAGTTAATGGGTGCCGTTGCAAATTCATTTCATGCTCACGATGTTCTTAAATGCGGCTATCAATACTTCGATCCTTATAAATGTTGTGTCATGGAGCATCAGAATTTCTCAACTACTTGTATATATACAATACGTCACTTTCTTAATTGTTCTGAAGATGGTATTCCTACAGTAAAACAAGAAAGCGACTTCGTTTTTAGGGTATTTAATTTTATTCTTGTCTCTCTATTATCGATATACAATTAATACTTTGTTGAAATTTTCAATACAACGTCTCTCTGTTTCAGAGCGTCTTGCCTCCATCAAGTTGAAGAATGTTGTTGCAAATTTATCTTATTACTTCTAAAACATAACATATAATATAGAAAACTCCTTTTTCTCTTTTCAAACGTGTGAGGTTAAAGACTTCATTCAATGCTTTTTAGTAATGTAATTAGAATTTATAAATGTTTAACATTATGGTAAAAGCTTGTTTTGGATGATAAATTTTCGGTATTTGGATTCAATCATTTTCAGGAACACGCAGATTAGGATAAAAAGGTACTTTACTGTACATCTGTATCACAATGAATACATGAAATCCGATTGCTCATTTAAACGTCACTAGTAAGAATGGCTTCACTAATGTATAACGTGAATGATTTCATTTTCGGCCTAGAAGTGACACACTCTTTACCACGATTAACCTGGAATTTGTTTTATTTTTTACATAGCACACTTGGTATGTTGTGAAAAAATAACAGGATTTTTGTGTCTCGTTTGATTGGCTAAAATTGCAACAGATTGTAGCCAATGGAACGAGATACAAATTATTTATAAGAAAGGATTTTTGAAAATTCCACCCCCGAGGGAAGATGGGTTGAAAATAATAATAATAAGCATTGTTTCCAGCTCAAAACCTGGGAAGGAACTTAACCTAAAGTTTAGTTGGATCCCAGCTCACAAGGGTCACGAAGGTAATGAATTGATCGACAAGTTGGTCAAGTCAGCCTGCACATTGTCTTCAAAACTCATCTACAAGAAGTTACCTGCAATCTCTCTGAAACATCCTATCTGAAACACCTACAACACATAACCAATGATATGTGGCAAAAGGAGTGGGACTGCGCTGGTACAGGAAGGATATGTCACTTAGTATAAAACAGAGACACGTTACGTTAACGTGACACTTATATATTTGAATTGATTTATCAACCACGAAATTCAGACAAGAATTTCGAATTGGGCTCTTTTATATTTAAACTTTTCTCATTCTTAAAAATGGGAGAGTTGCCAAATTGGTAAATGATTTAATAAGTTAAAAAATAATAATAAGTATCATTCGAATTTTTATTTTATTAATTAATTAATTATAACTTTTTTTTATGTGAAGCAGAATATGTATTTTTCTTTACACTCGTGCTTTAAATTCATTAGTGTTCCAACTCATGCCAATAACGGTCGAAAACACAGAAAAATAATTAAGTTAAAGACAAAATCAGTTAGTTAATGTGATAATTTAGACATTTCATTATTTTTTTTTTAATTAAGTTTTTAAATTAACGAATTTTATTGATAAAAATTCTAATTTCTTAGAGAGTAATCTTGCCTTTATTGTAATTGATTATTCAATTATATAAGGACGTTCTGTCCAAATTAATTCCTGAAAATAAGTATAAAAATAACGTTTTTAATGCGATAAAAACAAAAATCATAAATTAATTTCCAGTATTTTTTTATTGAACCAAAAACAATTTCTTAACTTAATACTGTTTTAATTATAAAATAATGACATCCATAGGAATAAGAAAAAATTTACTAATAAGATGTTTAATAAACTGTACCTAATACTTAAGTAATTAATAATCTAAGTTTATTATATCTGATCATTATACATGCATTTCTTACGTCTTCTTCCTTGTCTGCGAATTGTCCTTCAGTTGTTGTCTATACTAACCATTTGTAAATAAAGATGTTTAGAAGGTTTTGATACAGTTTTAAACTGCTTTAAAATAAAAAAAAGAACTAATTATATATTCCAAATTAGATAATTCGCTGATGGATATTCATTTTACGTCATTCCCGAAGGGAAATTATTTAAAATCTCAGTTAAAATCTTGTGTACTCACAAGATTTTTCTTCTTGGTGATGAACTCGAGTCACTTTCTACACATCTGTTCGATGAAAATGCAGTTTTTTTGTGAAAATACGTAACCATACTTTCTTTGCAGTTCTTCTCAAGAGAATAATAAATTGTTTATTAGTTATACAGATTGAAAAATATGCGAATATATGACATAAGAGACAGAAAATATGCTTCTCTCCTTGAAAGAGTTCTAGAATTACTTAGTGCTGCTAAGTGATTTTAGGAATACTAAAGATAGGAACAATTTAATAAAAAGAGTCAAGAATACGTGACTTAAATCGCTCCAAATGGAAATAAATCCAACTCTTTACAGGCGAAAGAGAAGTTAACATCAATACAATCCATCGGAAACCTATAAACTATTTCCATATTATTGTTCTTTTTAAAAAATAATTATATTATTTATTTAGTTAATTCACTTTCTTCCATTCTTCAGATAAAATAAATCATGTTTTTTTTTTACACTCAGCTTCTATAATATATTTAAGATAAATATTAATTATTTAACTTAAAATTACAAAGTTATTGTAAAGCAATATAATGTAGTTCATTCATTATTTATATTCTCATTAAAATTCAAAGGCATTTTGAATAATTTAATTGGAAAATTTCTCTCAATAAATCTTCCTAATAATAAGAGTTCTGTAAAGGCAAAAAAATCCCCTGGGACGTAAGAAAAAAAAATATCACTTGACTTGTACAGATGTTCTTCTTTATCCATTTTTATAACAGATGTAATATTCTCTACACTCTTCTAATAAGATCGTAAAATGGATTTTTTCGAAAAATAAAAAGATAAATTTTAAGTGTTTATTGGAAATGTTCACCAAACAATAAAATCCACGGTATTAAACGTCATCTTACGAAAATGGAGTCAAAAAAAGGAAACAGAAATCACATTTTTTATAAGTGTAGTACTTTAAAAATGATACTGTAAACTCTCTCTTTCTCAATACAATCTAAGTAAACAAGAACTTTTGACTTTTTTCAATAAATTACTGCCTTAATTTCATTTATTTGAGTGCGTTATCCATTCCATACCCACACCACTTTATCTCTATAATTTTGTTGAGGTTTCCTCACGTTTTATATTCATATCGCCGATCTCTATATCCATACACTATGTAATATTTTATAGTAGACTATTCTATCCCTCTATGTAATGTTATATGAATAAAATTACTTTTCTAGAAAACATAATCTTAATTTACATAGTATAAGACGTTTTGTTTAATAAAAATGAATTTTATTCTCATTTGTAAACATTATAAATTTCTATTGTTGCTTTTATTATTGTTATTACGTAATATTATAAAATATCCTGAAGTATAAATGATGATATATTATTCGTGTAGGACTTTGCAATGACATCTCATCAATAACGTGTTATATCATATCTCGAATGCAGCGTATATAATGCGGAATTTCCACTTAATTTAATATTAAATTGTTGTAATATGGCTTTAAATGATACCCTAAAGAGAATTTAACTATTCGCAGAACATATTAGAATTTATTTCCGTCGAGATTCATACGGATGAAAGGGAGTATCTATGGAGATTACCCACGAAAATAAGAGCTAAAAAAAGGTATATTTAGTACAAAGAGGCAACATCTGTAAGTTTATAAAAATATTAAAGTATCCAATATTTAATTTCTCTGCAAAGAAATTGCATGGTTTTGTATAATTAGTCTAATTAGATGAGACACTTTAGTTAAATGAAATCACGCTTTTCGTCTCATACCTTTTCATAAAATATGAAAAATGATATTCATAAAATTAAATTAAAGTAATTGTAGTTTACATTAAATTAAATTAAAATCTTTTTTCTTTTTTTTGAATTAATTACTTTAATAAATTAATTTTCCTCGCTTTCATTACAGCATTTCAATTAAAAGAAAAACATACGTTTGGAATCTGTAAATAGTAATAAATAATTTATTCCTTTTAATATATCTAAATTATGTTTGTATATCTGTTAGAGCTGGTTATTTAATTAACAGGCAATAAAATAAATTAACGAAAAATTAATAAATGATAAGTAAAAGAGATGTATTAGGATGATCCAGAGTATATATTCTGACTGATATATTCCCTGAAAGTTTCAGGTCCCTTGTAAAAGGCGTGGAAAATACGTTGCAGCAGCATTATGAATGGGGTTATGACATTCTCTACCCTCTATGGGTAACCCCACAGATAAAAATCCAAATGATTTAGTTTAAGGGGAGCAAGAATATCACACCATACAACTCGATCTATTCACCTGTGCAGGTAGGTATGTTTAATATAGAATATCACTTTAGTAAAGGAACTTTAATAAGAGAGTATCTAATAAAATCAATCTTACATATGATACTGTCATAATACATAGAAGAAACTAAAATGTCTTCACTCTACGTCATATCCAGTCACCAGGAACAACAGTTATACAGCATCCTTTAAGTTACAGAAAATTTTTCTCGAACTTTTCCTGGAAAATATAACCTTTTTCTTAATAAAATCGAAGAAATAAAGTATTAGAAATTTCATTGTAATTATCAGGGATAAAAGAGAATATGCTGACACTTTACACTCAAAAAAGTCACGGTATAGAACTTATATAATTTTTTTTATTCATAATTTGTTATAAGTTAAATTTTAACAATAATTATAAATATATATGACCAATATTAATTAATAAATAAAGTTTAAGAATTATTTCTTAAATAAACTCTACAAGAGAATAATTTACTCTAAATATACAATAGAACGTGCTGTTGAGTTAATTGAGTTCCGTACAAAGATTAATAAAGAAATTAAGTGTTATGTTGTAAGATTAAGTAATTGCAGTAAAAGGCAATCGTGCAGGGGTTTAACACGAGAATATGCAAATTACATCAATTATCTTCGGTGTCGTCGACTTACCGAAACTTGGCTTTTCATTACTCTAGTGTTTAATTAATACTCCATTATTTTTTAATAAGGTAAAATATTTTATAACTTATTGTTTATTAGTTTTAACTCGATAACACGTTTACTAATGCATTAATTAGCTTACAATTTAGGAACTAAACGTTCCTCGATTAATGCTAGTTTTATCTATTAATTAATATATAATTTCATAATGATTTAATGGTTGATTTCTTTATAATTATTACTGTGTATTAATTTATCAAACTATAGAAAGAATTCATTTACAGTCGACCCCCCTATAACACTGTTGATAATTCCGTTTTATATGAATTCCGTGTTGTACGAGTCACTTAGATTTTACAAATACGTGAGCCGTTCACAGCCCGGCACACGTATTTCTAAAATCTAAGTGATTCGTACAACACGGAATTCATATAAAACGGAATTATCAACAGTGTTATAGGGGGGTCGACTTGTATATTTATCAGAAAATGTATAAATTATGTTGATTTTTATGGTGTTTTAATGAATTTAATAATGTATAATAATAGAAATTTAATACAGGAAATATTTTAACACATTTAATAGCAAAATTTTATAAAAATTTACCTTAATTGCAAGCTTCTTGATGAAAGAGAAGTTATTCGAATTGATGAATGTTTCTATATTTATGTGGATGAGTAAATATATCTTGTATGAAGAAGGTAAACATAGTTGAAACATCACCTTGTCACAACCTAAATCATCTTCTCACATCAAAATAACACAATAATTACCTAAAGTAAGACGTTGAATAGATTAGCTCGAAAGAAATGTTCTCAGAATATAGTAACATCTGAACCTATCCAATAAATATTATCCGATTTTCTCTGTTATAAAGTAAACAATTTTACGATTTTCTTTTTTAGTTTTAGAAATATTTTGAATAGTCCATAAGTATAATGGACTCTTAAGAGGAAAAAAAGGAGAAAGATGCTCGAAAGATTTGAAATGTGGTTATGGAAGAAAATGGAGAAAATAGCCGAACTGAGAGAATTACAAATGAAGAAAGATGTCTTATAGAATGTATATTGAGAATAGAAAAGGACTTTTCTTGGGCGTATTTTCAGAGGAAACAGTTTATTGGGAAATATAGTAAATGGGGAGACATTGAATAAGCAAATTTCTCGTGTGAAAAGAAAAACTCGTTAATTAATTTATCAAAAATACTTTGATAAATTAATTAACGATTTTTTCTGGATATTCTATTAATAATATAAAGATTTATTACATGAATAACTGAAATATAATATTGTGCATTCGATAGTAACTTCAATCAAATATTTAAATAGTTTTTGAACAGTGTATATACTAAATTTCCTACTTGAATGTTGCTCTTTTATGAATATATACTATGAGGAATTCGCCCCCCGCTCAATTTACTTATTTATTCAAAAATATTGTGACGATTTATAAATTTTAGTGCCTCCATTTTATTTTATTTTTTTAAAGTTAAGCTAAGTATTTTATGTATATAGAGTATCTTGCAGTGTAGCATGCTTCACGCATAAGCAATTCTATAGATGGATTTGGTATCATCATCCTGCATTCATTTCCTTTCTTATTCGAATTCTATTGTGTCGGTTTCTATGCGGATAATCTGAGAATGTTTTAAAGATAAAATTTATTTCTGCTTCTATTCTTATTCTTAACGTAACGTATTTTATCAGAAACGTGCAGAAACATTTTTTTCTGTATTGTTAGAATAGTGTGATGAGTAAAACTTGATACTGTTTAATCCGAAACGTGTTTAAAAGTCTTAAATTTATTATCTAGACAATAAAAAATAATAGAATCGAGTTACGTTTAGTTTCGGGATTGGATAACAGCGATTGTTTTTTTTTTCGGTTGAATATGATCAAATTAACTTAAAAATTTATATTTTTTGTATTAAGGGGTGCTTTGAATCTCTCTAATATCTAGCAACTGATTAGTCTGATGTAATTGATTGTCTTCATTGTAAATCTATTGGTCCTTCGAATATTCTAACCATTTATATCGTCGAGTAGAAACATCACTGGAGGAAACAAAGATCATTACAAATAAAATTCAAAGTCTATCTCTTAATTTGAATGGAAGAGAAGTGTCAGTAATAGAAAATCTTTATACTGATGAAGAAAGGAATGTTTTGGAATAGTTCTCCTACTGAATTTCTTTTATAATTGATGACAGATTAGCTATTTATCCATTGAAACATTTAAAGGTTTATCATTGTCAATACTTTTTATTTTCCCATTTTCCTAAAATCCAATCGTTTTTACTTTTACTTCTTATTGTTACGTGCTTTAACAATAACCCGATAAGTTTCCTTCTTTTCTTTTATCTTTGGTATTTTGAAAAATAATAATAACTTAATTCTTCCATTAAACTGCTATTTACTAAAGCTTTTGCATCATGATACATCGTAAAGAACTCGAATAAAAGTGTACTCTTCCCTTTTTTTAATCTAAAATCTTTTCTCCATTCTTCTAAATCGGTGTGTAATCTCGTATTAAAATAAATCCAACATTAGAGAACGAAACAATGAATCCATTTTATATTTAATGTCTTCTTACTTGAAAAATAAGACACTAAGATGGTATTAGATTGCCAGGATGTCTTAAAATATTACTGTATTCTGACTATCTACGAAGATTGTGAGCCTGTTTGAATGAAAATTTCTTAAGAGAAATGCATTTATCGGGGTTTTAATATAAATAACTTTCGAATTTATTAAAAGAATTGATACCTGTCAATATTTGATAATGTTTTGCATTTATATTTAAATAATTTCTTCTTTTCTTTGATGCATTACGGAGTGACTTACAAGAAAATAGTTAAATCTTTCGTACTTTCTTTGTCTTCAGATATAGAATTTTTTTTAATTTTGCAGTTCTTTTCTATAGAAAAGAATCTAAAAAATCAATTATTTAAATACTTTAATTATTTAATGATTAATTAAATATTTCTGTTTGATAATTCAGGACTTATATATATCCTTTAACAATTCTTCTTTTGTTCATACTTTAATAGGAGTAGCTGTAAACAATGAAATGTATGCCGAATCCTACATTATTTTGTAGATTTCTAAGAAAGAGGTGACAAGTATAATATATTTAATAATAGGATATAAAGAGAAATTATGAATGAACCTTTGTGTCGTTTTAAGAACGTAATTAAATTTCTAATATATACAGTTGCGTAAATAATTAAACCGGAATATAAATATTTGCTTCCATACAATTTGTTTAAGGACAGTGAATAATGAAAAATATGAATTTAATTATGACTTTATTAAAATTTTCTTTATTAAAGAAATTGTTGAAAAATCGAGATAAATCCGTCTACACTCTTTCGATATGCGTATTTATCTTCTTTCTTCTATTCATCTTCATTATCTTCATTTCGAGTACGCTTGAGAGAGAGGAAATCGAAAGATGGTATCTTGAATTCACGTGGTTGATGACTAGATTTCGTTGAAACACCTATATTAACGGCTACAGTTTGCAGTGAATTTCTCATTATCATTCAATGGCATCAATAGATAAGAAGAATGAAATTATTATTCCACAAAGTTTTCAATTCCGATTCGATATTAAAACAATTTCTGGTCGAACCGATTCGTAGAAACATTTATTTCTTTTATTTTATAAGTGATTTTACTTAAAATATTGACAAAAAATTAAAGACAATTGAATCCATTTTTTGATCTTTTAAAGTGAAGAAAAATAATTCTTTTTCTTCGTTCGTAATTAAAGTTTTAACGATTAATTTTACTTTTAAGCAAAAAAAAATTGCTTAATTATTTCTCATTTATTTTCTTTTCTTCATATTTTAGAAATTAAAATTGTATACAGATTCCCTTGACGCTGAAGTTTTAACTAGGATTAAAGGCGAAGGATTTTCTTTGTGTTTTTTCAACCTTTTTTATGCAAATTCAAAATGTACATTCGATTGAGCATTCACTTTCTTTAATTAATTTTATACATTTTTTTGGTTCTAATCGATAAACTAAATATTTATTTTTTTCTCCTTCATCTAATTCTCTGTTTTTCTACTCTTACCTGTAAAAATATAATTTGCCATTTATCCCTTTTACTTTTTTATCCTTACAAGACATCAAGATTGTCTTATTTGATTATATATTTGTATGGTGTGATGTAATTCCTATGATTCAGTTCTCTTTATTTAAAAAATCAAATGTACGAATTCCTTTGTTTTTCTTTCAAAATCTTTCAAATCTTTCAAAAATTTGAAAGAAAAACAAAGGAATTCGTACATTCGATTTTTTAATGAAGAGAATTGAACTGAAAATTCGTAAATATTTACATTATTTTACTATTATTTCAGTGTCAAATCATTCGTAAAGAATAACTTCTGGATTATAATACCTTTAATATACTCTATTTTAAATGAAGAATCTTTCTTTCTATAAATATCTTCCTTTAAGATCCGGTAGCGTATGATTTAATTCAGTAGAAGTAAAGAAAAAGTGAAACTTGGAGTTGTTAAGTTGCTTAACAAAGAAACTTATCTTATCTCGACTCTTAATTATAAAGATTTCTATCGAACTGAATCGCGTATAGTTTATGCCATTATAAAGAAAGAGATTAGCAATTATAGAATGCCTCATTATAATTCATTCTTTGATGTGACCCATATCACTGGATACAGAACTTTTCCAAAATGTGCTTCCACTTCCCTTATCTTATCTTAAAAGAGTAAAGAATAGCAGAGACTCCAATCTACAGGCAAATATAAGTAATTATTAATATTCTCTTTGTACTTTTCGCACATTAAGATATCTCCAATTGAGACATTGTTCAATTGTTAAAGAAATGTTCATAACATTATTTCACAAAGTAAGGAAAATCTAGAAGAATTCTAAAGTTCGTGTAAGCAACATGAAACTTGGATTTATTTATTGATTTGTACTCAACTTCTAAACCACAGCTGGATATTGTTTATTGTGGTAATTTTGCTATCGATCCGCTTCGGTACTACCTTCTCTTACTATTTCCATCATCGTAAATCGCAAAAATAATATATATTGTTTTATTATGTGAAGATATTTCGGGAAAACAAACATTAAATCAAAAACAAATGAGAAATATTGGAAGATACAGTACATCATCCGAAACCTTAGAATTGTTTATCCATCTCCGATACTCACTTAAAATTGTTTGGTATTAAAGATATAAATAACATTGTAAAGGTCAAACTTGATTCGCTTCATAAAGGTCACTTGTCTTCTCATTCTTACCTTATTATAAACGTGTGTAAAGTATGAATGCCATTAAATGGATCTCAAATACGTCTAACAACATATTTAGATTTTGTTGTTAAAAGATTTTGGTTTAAATTTAATTATAGACCAAACGAATCCAGATAATGATTTAAGAAAAATAATTCAAAGCTTGAGATTTGTACACAGTTTTCATTCAATTTTAAGAGTTTTTAAAATTATAGAATGAATTGAAGGTTTAATTCTTATCTAATCAAATTTAAAAAGTAAACTTTACATTTTTCATTACTATTTGAAGATGACACACCTTAAGACAAGTGTTTTATCCTCAAATAGTACGGAGAATAGACGAGAGTTACTTTTACCAATACAACTTTTTATTATATTAGGGAATTAATCCTTTGAGGTTACGATACATATATGTTACTTTTGGGTCTCTTAACTGATTTAATCCATCAATAGTGTTATTGTTTCTTCTTCTTAGAATCAAAATACTTTGATTTTAACACGGAAAATTAATTTTCATCGTAATTTTCTATTTTTTTCGCGTGTATTCTTTCAAGATCTAATCAAATGGACGAAAAACTAGACAAAGGAATTAATGAAAAAAAGGGAAATTGTCGTTAATGTTCTCGCTTTTTTTATATATAATTGCATTTAGAAATGAAGTTTAGCAGCGAAATCGCTTTTAAAATTATCTTCTTTACTTAGGAAGTCGTCTCGTTTACATTCGTTAGTTAATATTTTGTATTTTTACCATTTTTCTTGTTTATTTTATTCGTTCACGCGATTATTTTAATTGTTTTCTAGTCCTTAAACCTGAAATTGTGTAGATACATCTTTTAAACAAGAATGTCAGACATAGAAAATGATGATGCTGCTGCTGCTGATGATGATGATGAAGATGAAGGGCATTTTCATAAATAGTTCTTCGTTAAAATGTCTAATTACGTAGATGTTAGTGCTTTTAAATGT